GGCGGTCGGCGTTGCCGCTGTTCAGCTGACTCATAGCGGGGCATCCCCTGCGCAAGCTGCGCCCCCGAGCAGCGCCGTGCCGTTCCTCGTGCGGAGCAGAGGCTGCGGCTGCAGCTCCGGGCGGAGGAGAAGCTTTCGCGCCTTGAACGGGCAAACCGCGGGGCCTGGGGTACCGCCCGGGGGGACGCCCGTTGCGCCCCTCGCCGCCCCGCCGCGTCTCGCTGCTCGGCCCTGCGTGCTCTCTGATCCCCGCGCTCAGCAGCGCCCAGGCGTGCCCAGCCCGTGTGCTCGCTGTACGGCCCGGCAGGCTCTGGCTTGGTTCGTTTTCAGCCGCGGTTACGCGTATTTTGCTGGTGAGCTGGCTGCTTTTCTTTGGGAGCACCAACTTCAGGTGGCAGATCTTCTGGTTGCAATACAGGCAGGGTTAAAACTATTCTTACGTGCTTAAATATCTGTTGCGTCGGGATCACGGAACTTAAGCGATCTGTTACAATCTTTGGCCATGAGCATAGTGTGAATGCGTGACACAAAAATGACAGTCTTCATCACAATGTGCACATAACACAGATGAAGAAAAAGATTTTATCAATTCAGTGCAATATAGACACTCATTTATATGAGGACAACCGGTGATATGTCATGACTGCTTAGCTGCCTGCAGGGTTTTACATTTTTTTTCCCTTGTATTTCATAAAGTCTGTGCTCATCTCAGCAACTGCTGTGGTCCTTAAGGACAATATACATCTAGTGTAATCCACTCAGAATTACAAACTTTCTAGAAGTACCTTGGTTTCCTACATCTGCTTTTTTCCCCCTCTGTGTGTGTGCTTTTCTCATCACAGCTTCAAGTTCTTTGGTTAGTTTGTATCTATGTCATCTGTGTTAAGTAGGTATTTTACATCATCTGCTTTTTTCTTTTTTTTGGGGGGGGTGTAGGTAGCTACAGTGGCTGAGAGCCATAGTACATAAACACTAAATCAGATTGTGAAGGTTATCTCAGGTGACCATTGCTCCAAATCATTCAAGCTTAAGCATAAAACCAAAAAGACTTTCACCCAGTGTTGAGATAAAATCTGTACACCGTACAAGTTAATAAATGGCAAAGCATTTGATTACATCTCTTCTGTTACTAAGACATGAATGATTGACTCCGGATATTCCTTCAGAGGTGTGTTTGGAAGATTAGGTTTTGATTTAACAGTAGATGTTAAAGAGACCAGTGTAACTGGGAATGGTATAAGGAACTCTGCTGAAATCACCAGGTACCTCAGGTACTTTGCATACACTGATAGTAAGACGGCTCTTAGTTACAGAACAGCATACTTACCCTGAAATAGCTGTATACCAGTTCATTCCTTGCTATTTAAATCCTGTAGCTAAATACATTGCCAGCTGAAAACTTTCCTTAAGCTCTTGGTCTGTGTTTTAGTACGACTTTCCCGGAAGCTGAGAATCTTTTAATCTCAAATAGTTTCTCTGGTAGCCTTCTACAAGGTCGGGGGTAAATTCTCTGGTTGGTGTTTCTACTTTCTCATAAAGTTGCTAATGAGGCAGTGTGGCACAGGTTTGACTGTATCTAACTCGCAGACAAAAGCAGATCCATTCTTCCCTATGAGTAAAGCAGTTTGTTGCCCCAAGAACTGCAAGATTTGAAGGGTCCTTCTCCCCCTATAGCTTGTAACAGACCAGCTGTTCTTATTTCCTGCCACCTCATTGAAAAATTCCTTAACTGAATTCTTGCCGTTATGCAGAAAATTATTCTGGAGGTGGGCCCTGCCTGCACCTCCTTGTTTTGGTTTGTGAAGCAAAAATTGCTCGGTGAGTCCACAGCGATGGTGCTAAGTCAGTGACAGTTAAGAGCCAACACAGAACAAGTAATGTGTTAATGATGCTGCCATAGCACGGAAGGGTTTGGCCAATGGGAAGAACAAAGGGCAGTGTTGAAACCTCTTACTGGCAGTGCTTTTTCTGGAAATTATGGGTGTTGAGCCACTGTTCTTCCAGGACTTTCTGACTTTAACCTTTGACCTTCTGCTTCTGTTCTAAAACTTCTCCCACCAGTTATCGTTTATGGCTCAACTTAGTTTCGAGTTTCTATTTACAGGGAATGATTTTAGATGCTATTTTGACTTCTCTTTATAAGAAGACTATTTCTTTTTCTCTTTTAGTGCAGTACTTGTGAGAAGTGGGGAGTTAACTAACTGCAACCCTTATGTAATCAAAATATAAGAATAGCACTGCTCGTAAAAGTGAATTAGAAACACACACTGCCCCCCAGCCTTTCAAACTAAGCTTCAAGCTTGTATTTACAGACATTAAGGGAAATGATAAAATTTGGTATTTGTGACATGGAATAAAAGAGATAATGCCGCTTATTTGCTTTTTCTTGTTTACTCTTGAAATATTTCAAGTTAATAGAAGCTTTAAGATCTGAAGATTTAAAAGCTAACAATTCTGTTGGGACAGCAGTTAAAGCACCATGTAGTGACTTCTGTTGTCTATCAATCTGGGGGGGGTTGTTGATTATTGTTGTTTATTTGTTTCTTCTGTTAAACTTTTTCTCTGCTTTGCCAGCAAGCTGTGTTTGACTTTTCATGGATTTGAATCAATCTTATATTTTTTGTAATGGCCTTCTTAGTAATATACCTGTGAGGACCATGTATACATTCAGTCAATTACATTTTACTATTCTGTCTGCTTCTTACAGCCTTTATACCTCTGTTCCCTGGATGCCCAGCACCAGCTCTT